TGAGATAAGGTTTGCCAAAAGTGTATTAATTTTTGCCTTGTCATTTTTGGTAAACCTCTTTTCAAGGTTCTCAAGGAAACCCTTAGTCGTAGTTACCTTATCATATATAGTGTCCCGAAATGCTCCAGGAATAGCACGATTTATGACCATTAAGCTTATGCGGTTCGATCGTTCCCACTTTTCCATCTTCCTCTTGTCATCAAATGTACTCTTATCAGTAAGTGCAGTAGGTTGATCGACCCGTAAAGCAAAGTCCAGATCCATGACTCTGAGAACAATCATTACGTTCTCTCGCCATGCTTTAAAGTTGGTGCCATGAAGCATTGGAATTGAATTGATGCTAGCAGAGATATTGGGAGCAGAACCTGAAACTGAATTAGAGAACAATTAATTGGAAGAGCTCACAATCCTTAATATGCAAATAATAATTTTAAATAATGGTAAGGCACATCACAAGATAACTAGCACAACATCAATATTTAGTTTTGGACAAAAATATTGACTTGTAAGTTGTACTCTTGTTGTAGTGATCAAACATTGACAATAAAGAAATATGTCAATCAATAACCTTCTCTGGGCCAATTTATTGATCACATGTTAGACCAAATAATCACCACATGTTTATCACCATATGTGTATGTGTAATTCGACCAAATATTGACCTTCCTNNAATTCGACCAAATATTGACCTTCCTTTGGGCCGATCAAATATTCGCATGAATAACACACAAAAAAACTCTTTTTAATATTCTAAGTTAATTAATTTTTACAAGAGATGTTGCTTTGGCAACATGTTGTTTCAATTAACTCACTTTCGAATATTATACCTCTCAAAAGAGTCACTTGTATCAAAATTTGAAAAAGAAAATCATTGAATTGGCATATTAGATTTATTTTGAAAATTTAGGGGCCTAAAGGTTAATAATTCAGAACTTTAAAGATCAAAATTAATTATCCAAAACATGGGGGTCAATAATTAATTATTCAAAACTTTAGGAGTCAAAAATTAATTATTCGAAACTTTATGGATCCACAAATTAATTATTCAAACTTTAGGGGCCCATTCAAACAAATTATGACTTTTTAGGGGCTTAATTTTAACCTTAGGGGGCTGAATTACAAAAGTTTTAAACTTATGGGATTGAAACAATAAAAATAGATTTTAAATATTGCGACATTAACCCCTAATATGAAATTGCAAGCAATGACCTTAAATCTTCACATTTTCAGCCCAAGTCCCCGCTCCCAGAATCATCTTAAACCGTAAAAAACCCTAATTTTCAAATTTAACAAAACTAAAACAAGAATTGCTAGATTTGAAAATCATAAAATTATTAAGAATCAAATTAAAATTTCAATTCTCAATTATTCAACATGAATAGGCTCTGATACCACTTGTTGGGAAAAAAATTTTACCGTCATAATGATCGTTTATGTTGGATAATCAAGAATATGTAAATTGAAGCGGGAGCGTACCTGAATCAGACATGGTTATCGCAATGGATGAATCCTAGGGTTTTAGTCTTCAAGATCAATACGTTGTTCCTTTGTTT